TCCCCCCCGGCAAGCTCCACTTCCCACCCTTCCTCCTGTCCAGCCCTGTGCCCCAGACCCTCCATCCAGAAAATACCAGAAATGTGCAATGTCCGGTATTTTCTGAATTCCTGGTGGGGCACCGGACGGAAGCCTGGCGAGGGCGGGAGAGAGACTGGGAGGCTAGGCCGCGATTGGCATTGGGAGCCCTGTGGTCGCACACAAAAGCCGGGTGGGGCAGGGCGGGGGCTGTTCTCCCCCCGCCCACGATCAAGTGTGTCAGTTTTTTTGGCAGGGTCTACCTGGCAACCCTACTCTTACATCATATACCTTCAAATGCCCATATGAATTCCACTATAGTTTTGAGTTGACTGTCTAATATTTCTCTGCCATGAGCTCTATTTAGCAACATTTCAAACATAAATAGCTCCATCAGATGCTCCCCCAACATGGAAGAACATCCAACAGCTTCTGTATCCAACCATCTTCCTTGTCTCTTCTCTTTCTCGGGTCACTTTTACTGCTGTCACAGGAGCCACTGCTGTCTTCGCTTCCTAGATCCTAATCCCATAAAAATAGAAAGGGAAAGGAAGAAATCCCCCCCCCCCAAAGTTCCACCTACCAACTCCTACTGAAGTTCCACTGTTTAGGTTTAGATTGGCTACCGCTCTGCCAGCCCCTGAAAAATCCAGGGAAAATGAAAAGCCATCCAATCCTGATCACCATCTGCTCCATAGCTTTGGGTCATCCCCAAGTCCTCTGGGAAATGACCTTCTGGCCACTCCACAGTAAGAGATTTTAGCCAATGGGAAAATCCTTCCCTCTCCTCCACCCAGCTGGGCAAGTGAAAGGAAGAGCTTCATCAGGCTATCAACTACCCCGCTCCACTAGGGGACTCACCCCTCAGCCAAGAAGATATCTCTGCCAGGGGAAAGATATCTCTGCCAGGGGAAACACCTACTTTACTTTTGTCTGGGGCGAGCAGAATTCGTGTCACCCTTCCACAAAGGCTCTGCTTCCTACTGTAAGGGAGCCCAGGCTTGTGCTATACCAGTGGTCCCCAACCTTTCAAGGTTGCCGGGCGCCAGGGGGCGGGGCCGTTCGCCCACCGGGCGCCAGGGGGCGGGGCCATTCACGCG